TATTGATTTACTTATTTTATTCCTAATGAACAAAAGCATAACTGGAAAAAAACCCAACAATAGTTGAATGATATTGATTTTTAAATGATCTGAGTAGGTGGAAAGGTTACCTTGTATAAATTATAGCAAGCATGCTGTACATTTACAACATTTAGAAGACAACAGATTGAGACACTTGGGTTATCAAATGCTCTGACTGTGTTCTCGTGATTTCATGTTTGCTAGATCTATCAAAGGCTATGTGGATAATACATGACCTTCTGGCTGTCTACTGAGTTCAAAGAGAGTTGTATTCTTATATACCAGCGCTTCAATGTGATAATATTTGTGTAAATTGGTAGAATTCAGGCCAATGTCTTAATGCGAGTCATCAAAATCGTTCTCAATGATGCAGATGCTTTCAATCTCTGTGGTCCTTCAAATCCATTCAACCTTCATTTTTACTTTGTGTCAGTATTCTTTCTTCCGTAAATTTCTGCCCAATTATATTCCTTCGGAATCTATCTTTTCTCTATCTTTGTGTGCTGTACATGGAATGTGGCAACTCGAACTGATGCACTTCTGTGCAAAGTTCTATGCTGAAGCCCAGTCATTCGGTCAACGAGTCTGTTACCCTTGTTCTGCGAAGTGAAACTCTATCAGTTTGTACTTTGTGCAAACTAAGAAGTGTATAAGAAGAAGTGTAAACTTATTATAAATTAACATAGTTATGGCTCAAGTATTTACCCGAATATTCTGTATCAAATGTTGAATTCTGATATCTGTCTACCATTAGGCCGAGTGGCGTTCGAACCCTCAGACCCACCGGTTGAAAATCGAGCACCTAAGCAAATGGGCCACTATGAAAATAAATAAATAAATAAAATAGTTCTATGAATTGATGAGCTTTGATGGGTTCAGTCATACGACACTTACAACAAAACATGTTATGGTTAGATAGTTAGGATGACCAAGCTTTTTTGAGGTAGGTCTGGCAAAGTTAAACTTTAAGCACCAGTATGTACCAACGGTTAAATGACCTTGGACGCACAAACCACATAATAAAGGCGATTTTTGCGTTCAAAAAATGAATCAAAAGGTGTGAAACTGTTACACAGGATACCTTTCTCTGACGTGTGACAAAAATACCTATCACTTTTGGGTTAGCGTAACAACAGAGTAATTTAACCACATTCTATGCATGCTAATTATCTAGGTCTTCTAATCCTATCACTGACTCTAGTCTTTCCTTAACCTAACCCTAGCGTGCAAATATCCCTAAATTAACCCCAATCAAGCTAAAAACAACCCTTACGTCTCCCCTATTAGGTTAACCTTACCCCTAACCTCTCCTTAGCCTAAACCTTAATATTTCCCAAACCTGACCTGAAACTTGCCAGATATCCCATTAAAAAACATAACACTTCAAGAAGCATATTTTATTCATGATTACAGCATTATTTGTCAGGTTTCACTGACCTGTTCAGTGAGCTTTTCAAGGTCATTCGTGCGGTCACACTCCATTGCTACCTACTGGTGCTTAAAGTTTAACTTGGCCCTATGTCCTATTTAGATCTTGGGTAGTGTACATCAGTGCTGAATGTTTTTTATTTTACAGAAGTGTATCAATTCAAATTTTCCCACACCTTTGTAAAGTGTATACATAAAACAAAGGGAAGAGAAACACAATTATACTACAATATATAAAAATCAATATGAAGGAGAAAATAAAATGACAAAGATTGTGTACTTCTCCACCATTTGGAGCTTTTTTCTTGAAGTCTCTAAACAGCTGACACTCAACAACATAAACCTCCTTAGGCGGTTCAAACCAACAATCAGTGACCCCATGAATTAATGTCATACTTCTGTGTAACCACACATAACAGGAATATCACTACTCTTAGAGAAGTGCAACTGCTTGGCATTGCTTAACATACGTCATGTCTAAGTCATCCCAGTTAATAGGGCTTTATAACCCCGCCCCCACCCCACCCAATCTCACTGATTGACTACCTAATCCAAACGAGTCATTGGCCAATACATTAAAACAGAAGACTAGTTATACAGGCTTTTAAATTTTATTTATTTCCCTTTGATTGACTGGATTGACGAAATGTCCAGCCTCTGTAGACATTTTAGCTCCTAGTACGGACCCGTTGCACAAGAGGTGGAACCTGTGGTCCAAGTGGTCTAGTGGGTGGATAACACTTCAGCGTTTGAAGCGATGGGTACTGGGTTCAAGTCCCATTGGGAATAGCATCACTCACTCACTCACTAGGGAATGCAGGTGCACCTAGATGACGAGTTCCAAGTAGGACGAAATACTCATTTTAGATTCCACTGCTAGTCACCGCCATCCACCAAATTCACTTATCTTATTTAGTTAGATTTAAAGTAATGTTAAGTAAACCTTTTCTGCTGAATTCATTGTATTCTCTGAAGAGCCGGTTGATTTAATCAAGAAGCTGTCGTCGTCCCCCATCTAGTCAGCATCTCCCTTCAGCAAAGGTTCTAGTATTTTAGATGAACTCATTTAAATTCTCCATCAATGATGACATAACTGTATCTCCTCACAACCACTGTCGTGACTGCCTAGTTGTTTATTTACGTCGCTATTGGTCATATTTATATTGACTTGGAATTCGAACTTTCTTGTCATGTGATGATTTACCTTTTATTAGCTGGTAAATTTGGTCTATAATATTGTGTTTGTTAATTGCTGACTGACTCATCTGAGTACCAGGCTTCTAGGAATCCCCTGACTGCATTTTTCGTGTTTCCTATATTTAAAATTTCTACATTATCCCAATTATCAAATTCGTGTCCATAATTATCTACATATATAAATGCGAAAGAATATACATCATGTCTTTTTACAAGCCAAAAGATTCGACAGAAATAAATGAATTTGATACCCTTTACAAAATAAATTGTATGAACTGCAATAAACATTGCATCGGTCAAAGTCGGACTCCCCTTCGAATCCGAATCGAAGAACACAAATTGGCTGTAGAAAGACATGATATATATTCTTTTGTATCAATGCAAATAGATAATTATGGACACGAATTTGATGATTGGGATAATGGAGAAAGTTTGAATCGAGGAAACACTAAAAATACTGTCAGGGGATTCCTAGAAGCTTGGTACTCAAGTCAATTAACAAGCATATTACTACAGATCAAATTTACCAGCTAATAAAAAGTAAATCATCACATGACAAGAAAGTTGGAATTACAAGTCAATATAAATATGATCAATAGCGACGTAAATTAACAACTAGTCAGCAGTCACGACAGTGGTTGCCAGGAGATACAGGTATGTCATCATTTATGGAGAATTTAAATAAGAGTTCATTTCACATACTACAAAACCTTCGCTGAAGGAAGATGTTGTCTAGATGAGCGGACGACGAAAGCTTCTTAATTAAATCTACAACCAGATCCTCAGAGAACACAAGTAATTCAATATCACATCCACCTGAGCTACAAATCTTCTCCATTATTTCAAGACGTTTTCCTGTTTATATATATATATATATATTAGCTGAATAATCTAATATATGCTTCATATTATTCTGATGGCCTTTTTACACATTGAAAGTAAAATAAGAAGGCAAAATAGACAATATAACATTTTAACATGTTAATTTCGCATATTGATGATGATGAATAGTGTACAAATACGAAAGAGAAAGGTTACAGAATTTTATCATGAGCTGAGATTGGTTAGAGAACCACTGGAAAACCTGTAGGGAGTACTTGACAACTGTTTCGTCCTAGTTTGGGACTCTTCATCAGTACGCACCCACCACAATGGGGTTCGAACCAAGGACCTTCTGGTTACAAGGCAAGCGAGCTCGGAGACCATTAAGCCACTGAGACCCGATCCAATGTCTAGCCCATGAATTCTAGCTTCTGCCGATTCACGATATAGCGCAACCGTTAGCCAATGTCTTCGGCGAGTATTTGTCCTCACACTGACCGACCTGCTACACCCTACTTCCCACTAGAACCCCAGGTATCTAACTACCTACCTGAATAGGGCCAGTCGCCAGTGAGCATCTCATTGATATTCAAGTATTGGTCAGCTCATGATGAAATCCTGTAACCAATCAACCAAATCCCTACAAACCAATACTTAAATGTCAATGAGATGCTCACTGGCAACTGGCTCTATTCAGGTAGGTAGTTACCTGGAGTTCTAGTGGGAAGTCGGGACCAGTAGGGTGCAGCAGGTCGGTCGGTGTGAGGACAAATACTCGCCGAAGACATTGGCTAGTGGTCGCGCTACATCGTCAACTGGCAGATGTTAGAATTCATAAGCCATTGGATCGGGTCCCAGTGGCTTAATTGTCTACGAGCCCGCTGGCATTGTAACCGGAAGGTCCTTGGTTCGAACCCTGGTGGTGGGTGCGTGCTGATGAAGAGTCCCAAACTAGGACGAAACAGTTGTCCAGTACTCCCTGGTGGTTTTCCAATGGTTCTCTAACCAATGTCAGCTCATGATAAAATCCTGTAACCAATCAATCAAAATCCCTACAAACCAATACTTGAACAAAAGAGAAAGGTTAAATTTTGATTCTAGATTGTTAAACTTTGTGCACTGGTGGTGGCACAGCTGTAGAATGCTCGCCGAAACTACTCAGGTGGTTCAGGGTTCGATCCCCAGTCGACTCACTCCTTTACCTCACCTCTCTAAGCCATTAATAATACTAGTAAAAAGGCAAGGTTGGGCATGAGGCTGACTAGCAACGCCCCATCCCGTAAAAGTAAAAAACACACCATTGCCTACCGAAACTTCATAGCCCAAGAAGCTTGCAGCCCTATGTTCCACTGGGAAGCTATAGGAATAACATAATAATAAAAATAATAACTGAGCAGTTGTGACCTTATTTGTTTGAATAATTAGAGTTCAAAGTTTGATTATTTATTATTCCTTTTTTTGTATTTTCATTTGTTTTTACCTGCCTGAAATGCATTCACATCTTATTTTAACCTCTTGTGTTTTATTTAAAGCTTGCTATGGAGTATTGCGGAGCTGGATCAGTTGCTGATCTTATCAAAAGTAAGCACTATTATTATTATTATTATTATTATTATTATTATTATTACCACATTATCGCCGCTCATCATTATTTTGGTGCTCTGATTGTATCAAAATTGAGTTGTGAGAGGTTAGAAATTCAACTTTTTTCTCATAGTCTTCTTCACCTGCTTCCAACTCAGTAGTAAATACTTTGAAGGAGGCGTTTGTTGAGATGGAATGACCAGTGTTGACGAGGTGTTCTATTATTGCACTCCTTATGCAGCTATTACTTCCTTTCTGTAGCCACGCTGGATAGTGTTCTTTGACCCTTTTTGACAGGATACGCGTTGAACGACCGATATACCTGGCTCCACAGCAACAGGTGAACTGATATATACACACAGAAGTGATCAGGTGTGTGGAGAGACAGCATAGGTGGTTGGCATGCTGGTCATCTGAGATAAACACCTTATTGCGGCTTTTATATCCCTATTCCCCAGCAGCACGACTTTGGCCACAGACCGTCAGCAGAGTGTAAGAAACAATCTTACACTATGCCGTTAACTGCTTTTAGTCTAATCGCTATCCTAACAATCTTCCTGGTATGGTAGTTCCAGCCAGTGTAGCTTGTTTGGTCATTGGGATATACAAGCCCGGCGACCACCATATCAAGGTTGCAGTAATCGGTCGTGGAGGTGACATGTCATAACAAAACCCTGAATACTTCAGTCCAGTGAAATCATATCAACGAGAAATATGTCAAAATAAGAATGATAGTAATAATAATTCCGCAATCAATAATATTTCCTTTCCATAACTCCATTTATTTTGATGATGTTTCTTTTTAGGTACTCGTACAAAATCATTAAAAGAAGATTGGATTGCCTATATCAGTCGAGAAATTCTTCGAGTAAGTCATTTTCAAAGCATTAAACGGTCATCCTACTCAACTTTTTTTTAAACTAACATTTTTAAAAAAAGATCAATAATTTCTCATCTTATCTCTCCAGTAAGTGAAATGAATTCATTTTAAAAGAAAAGTGTAAGTGTAATACACTTTAAGGAATATTGAAAGTGTGATTTTTTGTATAATTTCATTTCAGTCTTTATTTCATCTCTTTCAATGTTTCAGCATTGTTCATTGATATCTACACGACCTCAAAAACATAGGAAACAGTTTGAAATTATTAGATGGTTGGAGGCAATCGACAGGAAGTCCTGTCTGACCTAGGTTTCGTGCTAGTTGGCACTCACTAGTCAGTCAGCAAGGCGTATATCTGCAACCTTGAAGGAACTCGTGTCCCTCCTTCTGAGATTCGAACCAGCGTTACTCAGTGAGTGCTGCAGTCAGAGACGTTACCACTAAGCTATTCGGGCTCGTGGGCCACCCAGCGTGAAGGTCACACTGCAAACTTGACTGACAATAGAATTCAGTCTGCACCAAACTAAGGACTAGACATATCACACTAGTTACTGACTAGTGTTCAATCAAAAATATCCATTACAGTCCTACAGGAGGGTAATTGTGAGTCCGAATATCTCAGTGGTAACGTCTCTGACTGCAGCACTCACTGGGTGACGCGAGTTCGAATCTCAGAAGGGACATGAGTTCCTTCAAGGCTGCAGATACGCCTTACTGGCTGGTAAGTGCCAACTAACGTAAGCTCAAGGCTTCCTGTGGCCGATTGCCTCCAACCATTTAATATCATCAAATCAGTGTGCACCGTAATGGCAAGCTACCTAGAATGGTGGCCACATTGCAAACCTGACTGATAGAATTCAGTCTACGGCAAAGATAGGACTAGACATATTACACTGTTTACTAACTATTGTTCAACAAAAAGTACAGTTTGAAATTGCTTAACACAGATTAATTGTGTATAGTAGTGTTCTTCGTGCGTTGGTGGTCCTATCGTAGAATGCTCACCAGCTGTGAGATAGGTTTGAGTTGTAATTCGCAGCCGACGCACTCTTTAACTTCACTTAGACTCTAACTAAGCCTGAAGTAGTGTGCTCGAGAGGCTAAAACAAACCTACTTCGTAAAAACATCAGCACCACCACTTCTACAACTTCAAAAGTTTGAAACCCTACGTTCCAGTCAGAATGAAAAGGTTAGGAATAAAGTGTGGTATTCGTCTAATACGTTGTAGTGCATTATCAATTCTTGACTTTAAAGTCTTTGAAAACAGTAAAAGTCATGCGGTCGAATCCTTCAACATTGCTCAAGTCGGGACCAGTAGGGTGCGGCAGGTTGGGTGTGAGGACATATACTCACCGAAGGCATTGGCTAATGGTTGTGCTATATCATGAATTGGCAGAAGTTAGAATTCATGGGTTGGCCATTGGATCGGGTCTCAGTGGCTTAATGGTCTACGAGCTCGCTGGCCTTGTAACCAGAAGGTCCTTGGTTCGAACCCTGGTGGTGGGTGCGTACTGATGAAGAATCCCAAACCAGGACGAAACAGTTGTCCAATACTCCCTGGTTGTTTTCCAATGGTTCTCTAACCAATGTCAGCTCATGACGAAATCCTGCAACCAATCGCAGCTAATGTTCTACAACTTGAAGACACTATAATTTACAGTTATCAGAATTTAAAGTCTTCATACAATTCCTTGCATTACCAAACTCCCCACCAGTGAACTTAGTGTTCATCAGGGTAATTTAAAACCTATATATGTGTGTATTCTCAACAGTTTGGCGTGTCCCTCATTTTCGCCTGCTTAGTGGTTGATGTTGTTATTCAGATTAGAGTAGTTTTGGCTAGTACAGTTTGGTTCGCATAGTTCACAGTCCGTATTATCGCCGGCCATTCCAGCTACTATTTTTCCATTACTTATATTATATGATACATTGGAAATTAAAAGACTTTAAATGAATTTTCCAGACTAATAGACTATTGATTGCATCTCTTTTCATGAAATAAAATCCACAACAGTTCGTTTAAGCCAGTCATGTAGGGAGGTGTAGACTAACTAACGGCCTGGTTCTCGGGATGGTAAGAACCAATGAAGGCTGGAGACAATTAGTGATATGGCTCAAATTCATCGTTCTCAATGGCCGGTGCAGATGCATTCATTCACCCTTTGTGATTCGTCATATCCAATAAAACTCTATTGTTCTTCCACCACATTACTATTCTTTTTCCCTCACTAGCACTTGTGTTTATTATCTCCCTTTTGAATCTCTCATTATTCTCTTCTCTTGCTTTGTGTGGTACACTACCATGGAGTGTGGCAACTGGAACTGCTGCACTTCTGTGTCGAAACCAGTCAGTCAGTCTTTTCATTTCATTTCAATGAAATATATGGTGATAAAATCCCATAGATATATATTCATGCATACACGCTTTGTATCCACACTGAAAACAGACACCAGTTTGTTTTTAGCCTTAATGTATGCGTGTGTATGTACGTGTGCGTCTTGATCAAGTATGATTGTTTTCTTCGTTTTGAGAACCTTTTTTCTAATGAATGAATGTATCTTAGCTGTCATTTTGATTATTTCCTTTGTTATGTTCCCATTGGACAATAGTACAATACAAAAATGAAGAGGAAATGGTTTGACGGAATAGAATGAACACTATTCCCCATAAACCTAATTGGAATAGATAATTAGATTGTTTTCTGTTTATAATAATGTAACAACAGAAGACAAGGGCCAGGCAACAGATCGTTTATTAAGGAAAATCAACACATATTTATAGATTTTAATGTACATTCTTGTAGATTATTGTTAGTAGAAAATACAGTCTTTTGATTGGTTGTTTCTCACAGAAAGTTAACCTTGCAAGCAATAATGATTGTTATTATTCATTTAGTTTCGAGTGGAACATGGGGCTTCAACAGCTCACCTCCATTTCATCCTGTTCTCAGCAGTCTTTCTTATCTGGCTCCACCATGATTGCCCGTAGGCTCATCTTCTCCTCACACAATCTCCTCCTCCATGTCACTATTGGACGCCCAACTCATTATTTCCCATTCTGGTTCCACTGGAGCAATGGCCAAGTGCGTGCGCTGTCACTCAGCGGTTTCTTCAGCATGTGTCCGATCTCCATTTTCTTCGGCATATTTTTTTGGGGCAGGGGGGGTAGTAGGTTCTTGGTTGGTTCGTTCCCAAAGTTCTTTATCACTAATCCTTTCTAGTCATCCGGTTTTGAGTATATTAAGCGAAGTCAGCTGTTGATAAGAAGTCTGTTTGCAGCCCGATGGAAAAAAGTCTCGAGATCATACATAGAAGCATTGATTTAGCAAATAGGTTCGAGGATCTGGATCTTCAAGTGTTGGTTTGTAGGGATTTGGTTGATTGGTTACAGGATTTCATCATGAGCTGACATTGGTTAGATAACCGTTGGAAAACCAGCTGGGAGTACTGGACAGCTGTTCCCTCCGTCCTAGTTTGGGACTCCACATCAGTACGCATCCACACACAGGGGTTAGAACCCTGGACCTTCTGGTTACAAGGCGACCTCATAGACCATTAAACCCATGAATTCCAACTTCTGCGAATTCACGATATAGCGCGACCACTAGCCAATGTCTTCGGCGAGTATTTGTCCTCACACCCGACCTGCTGCACCCTGGATCTTATTTCTTATCCTGAGTGCATGAGATTTCCACACTGATTTGACATTAGTGAACGCAAGTTTTGCTGTTTCTATTCTGACTGACTCTGATATCCTCATCTGTGGCATGTGATTCGCTCCTGTCAAATGTAAGATGATGCTACAAGACTGGGCTACATTGATTCCTAGTTTAAGCAAAAGGAGTGAAGTGATAGGCTGTGTTGACCACTTCATCTGTTTGGGAAGTTGGACTAGCCATAATGGACTGCTTGGTGACGAGATCTCAGCATGGATACAAAAGGCTAACATGGCATTTTCCAACTTATTGTGTCTCTGGCATAGAACTGATATCTAGATATCGATCAAAGGACGTGTGTACTGTGATGGTTGAACACTTTCTTTTTAGCAAACAGTACATTTGGTCTAGAAGAGATAAGATTATCTCCTATGCAGGTTTTGATGTGTGTATCCCATAAATCTCTTAATTTGTTGTATTATCACTAAATTAGGATAATTTAAGTAAAAGAATATGTGAGACTGAGTCGAAATCATTAACTTCCTAACACTTGATTTCTCGAGGTTTTTAAAATTTCTTCTTGTTTGTTTTACTACTGTGCCGAAATTCGATGGCCTTTATCAACAAGCGCATTACTTTTGAACGCCTTTGAATTCAGTTGATAAAATGTTAGGTAATAGTGAAGACGTGGCTACTTAGCTTGATCATTCGGCTTCCAATCAGTCGGTGCCAGGTTCGAATCCTACTGTTCCTTTTTCAGTCTGCGTAAGTAGATAGTATCATCAGCCGTCAAACAATCACTCTGACTTATCACTAAGTAAATAGCAGCTAAAAACTGATATCAATGATACACGTTTCAGGATTCTATGTGAAAGTGGAATAATTCAAGAGTCTATATTGTACAGCTAATGTTGATCACTTTCTCGTCTTTACGATAGATTAAATTCCCTTGAAATAATATTGCTACAAACATTTTTTTGTACAGCTGACTTCAAGATTTACCTTATTTCTACTTCATGTGTAGCTTTATAATTCGATTTTTCATATTTGTGTGTGTATGCTCTTGCGTTTGTTTGTTTGTATGTGTATGTGTGTGTGTGCATGTCCTTATCAATTCGTCAATCAAAATATTTCACATATGTGATAGATATAATGCAGACTTTTCTATTTGAATATATTCTACTTCCCGATCGATCGATCAATCGATCATTTCTGTATAGTATGACTTAGATGACATTCATTCCTGATTGGTTGAAATCATTTTTCAAGGTTACTTTAACCGGTTTGGCCAAATATATGTATATGTATTGATGTATGAATGAATGCATTAC